ATAACCTTGGTTGTCAACTAGTCTACTGCAAAAATTAACGTCAGCATACTGCAGGAATTCTGCCAAGTCAATCATGAAGCGAAAAGAGATATGATTTCCCAAGCGTGCATCACCCATGGCAACAGAAGGAAGAAATGATGAGAACGGCGGTCCAGTGAGAACTGTGCAAGCAACTGCGTATTGACCGTACTGACCAATGGTATAAGCACAGGCTTTTAAATTTACATACGCTCTATCTCTGATATTGGCCACTTTTACCCATAAATATAACATAACTTAAAACTATATTTTATCATATATATATGATTTTTTTTATTATTTTATTGTTCAATATATATATATATATATATATATATATATATATATATATATATATATATATAAAAGAAGTAATTATTTTTATTTATTAATCCGACAGACTTTTATCAAATTAAATGTTATTTTAGTAAACGCTCCGTTTATTTATTAAACAATATATTTATTTTCTTTTACGGGCCTGAATATTCGAGAAATCTTATAAAGTGTAAATAAAGCAGAGGAAGTATATTTTTCTTGAATAAGATTTCTCGTATATTCAAGCCGGTAGAAGAAAATAAATAAATATACTGTTTAATAAATAAACGGAGTGCCTACTCAATTATATGTATCCACTAAAGGAAATAACGTTTTAAATTATATATATATATATATATATATATATATATATATATATATATATATATATATATATATGTTTAAAAGAAAAACAGACCACTTTAAGGTACCATTATAATAATTTATTTCACCAGAGCCCTTTTAAAGGACGCCGGATCATCAGATAGCACTTCCAAAAATGAAATGAAACGAAAAATGAAATTAAAATTGATGGATAGTGTAAGTTTTTGTAATTTAACAGAGAGTGTAAAAGGAGTAGTTAAAGAGACATGGTAGAGTTTAGGGAGGGATTAATTTCATATCTATCTCAAGCATACTTTGTATTGGGGGAGTAGGAGGGCCTGAGAACTTGACCTATTTAGACGGTTAACATAACGGAAGTGATATATTGAAATGGGGGTGGAGAAGGGAGAAAAGAAAAAGGAAAAAGAAAGGAGAGGGAAGTAAAGAGAAATAGGCTGTAATTGGGTTTTAGCAATTTATGTAAAGAATAGATTTTAATGCTTGATAGTAAATTATATATAAATATATATATATATAGTGTGTGTGTGTGTTTAGGCAGCAAGAATTTTTTATACAAGTTTTGTTAATAGCTACAAGTTCTGTCAGTACAATTGTTTATTAAGTACTTCCAACTTCAGACTAAGTTGCTTTATATCAAAATTAAAATCATATAAATCATTTCCAACTACAATCAACATGGCTGATGCTAACCTCCAGGAGAGTGACTCATTGCGCCTTCTGGGGCTAAAGTTTCCTGTTAACATGAAATGTCAAGATTATATTGAATTCATTGCCAGGTCTGAAGCTAGGAATGTTGCTTCACTGTGTGTCGTGTTAAACAATTTTTATCGCTCGAATTTATCCTACATATTTATAATTCTACCCATTCGCTATGCTTTGAATATTGCTGCCACAAATGTTCTGGTTTCCCTACTATATATTTCGATATCCTTAATGAAATCCCCCCCCCCAAATCTGCAATGACATTGGTCCTAACCTGGCATATTGACTTTAGTCACTTTCCTGTCGTTACTGGGAATCCATGTTTTTATTTTTTGCCCACAAAGAACTGTTAAGTTTGTATTTAATTTTTCTTACGTTTTTTTTTTTTACTGACTATTTTGTGAGAGTTTTTAATTTTCTTTTTTCCTATAATTTTTTTACGCTCCTCTTCTATAAGTCGTGTTTTTTAAAAAAATTTTCAAGCGTAGTCTTTTTTTTTTATTTCACTAGTTTATTGATTTAACTTTTTTGTTCTTTTAAATTGTTTGAATTTTAGTTTTTTTTTTCTGTAAGATAAATTTCTTATTTTTAGCATATTTCTTTTTGCATATTTCTTTTCGCATTTTTCCTTAAGCTTATTGTTTAATGTTTTTGGTTTCATGTTTTTCGTGTTTATCCGTCTATTTTGTTCGTCACTTTTCTTTTTCTACTCTTGTTTTTCCTTAAACCCCGCCCAGCTTTCGTTTGTATTTAGTAATTGTTTATTTTTTAGTTTAATATTTTAAGCGTTACTTCGTCCATTTTGTTTTAAGAAACACAAATCTTTATACGTAAACTACTGGCACCAAACTCTTTTGTTCGTGTAATTTAATTAATCTTTTCTCCGAGGTATTTCGTATCTTTTTTGCAAATTTTCATTTCTTTTCCACGTGCCTTTCACACTATTTTGTTTTGATTTGCTGTTTTATTTTATTTAAAAAAAAAAGAAAAGAAATAAACAATTATGCGTTGATTTATTTGTTTAATCAGATTTTTTTTCTTTTATCGCTAAACCAGATTTTGTCTATCCTTCAGACTTTTTTAAATCTCCTTTCTATTACAAAAAAAAATTGAGTACACCTTTTTATTTTTTTTAAATCATTTCACCCCAAGCAAAGTGAGAGGAAAGACTATGTATAGAGGGGATTGAGGAAAGCTAAAAGTTGGACGGGATCAACAGAAGATGGTGATTGACATTGCATTTAAATTTTTGAAGATTGTTGTTATCAGGGGAACAAGTAAGCGGAAGGGAGTTCCACTGCTGGGAAATGCGAGAGAAGAATCTGTTGGAATAGAAGTGGCGGTTGCATTTAACTATTTCAACAGTAAAAGGGTAGGACCTAGATGCCAATCTAGTAGCACGCTTACATTTATGCAGTCGGGGCACCAGGGGAAAAAAACTCCTCAGTGCAGTTGCCATGAAAATATTTGTTAAAAAAGATAGCGGGAAGCCATGTCACATCGGTCAGAAATCAGTCAGGATCGATTACATTACAGATATTTCTTTGTATATTGTCAAGAGCCTCGAGGGGGCCTAGACCAGATATGGCAACAGTATTCAATGTACTGGCGAATGGTAGATTTGTAAACGTGCAAGATGGACTCTGACAAGAAAAAGCTTCTGGCACGACACAATGAACCAAATTTCCTTGCAGTAGATGTAGCTATTGATTCAATGTAATTGTTCCATTTCAAGTCAGTTGAAAACGTGAGGCCAAGAAGGCGCAGTGTGTTGGAATCCTGGAGTCGAACATCAGGGATGTTGATGGCTGTCACGGAAGTTTCTCTATGATGGTGAAATGAAGATCCTACAATTGAAGACATGTTCTATTGTATTTCGTCCGGTTCAAAAACCTGCTTGTTCATCTGATAGCAGTTCTTCAGCATTGGATTTCCAACGATTCAAACTTATACAGAGCAAGACTTTACTAGGATGACTGATCAGGCTTATTGTTCTATAATTTCGACACTGCCTGAGTCAGCCTTTATTTGGCAGAGACATTACCAATGACTGAGCTCACTCGTTAGGCGACTGTTTTTGGTTGCCAAATCTTCTTATATAACAAGTAATAAAAAAGAACATTACAAAACACGGTGTTTTAAAATTTATATATATATATATATATATATATATATATATATATATATATATATATATATATATATATATATATATATATATATACAGAAATAATATGCAAAAATACAATATATATATATATATATATATATATATATATATATATATATATATATATTAAAAAGAAGAGAAGTACCGCGAACGTTTTTGGTTGTAATGTGGATTTTTTTTTTTAAATATTATGATTTATTTTCCATAATTTTACTACACGTGTTTCTGGTTCGGATTACTAACAGAAAAACAGAGATTGTCTCATATCGAGAATATTTAACATTGAAAAACATAAGAAAAAAAATAATTATTTTTAATAATATGTGGAAATCTCCGCCTTTTACCTGAAGACGGTCGCGAGACCAGAAACACGTGTAGACAAATTTTGGAAAATAAAGCATAATATTTTTTTAAAATCCACATTACAACCAAAAACGTTCGCGGTACTTCTCTTCTATTTAATATACACACTTTTCTCTCGTTGGAACCACTATAAACTTTATTTTTATTTATATATATATATATATATATATATATATATATATATATATATATATATATAAAGACAAGAGGAAAAACTATACGTTTCGTCTTCTGTGGGGCTTTATCAAGACAATATCACATTGTATTGATAAAGTCCCACTAAGGAAGAAATGCGTCGGCTAAGTATAGTTTTTCTTCTTGTCTCTTTTTATTCATATATATATATATATATATATATATATATATATATACATACACATATATATATGTATGTGTGTGTGTGTGTGTGTATGTATGTATGTGCGTGTATTGTGTATGTGTGTGTATTTGTTTGGTTAAAGAGCAACGAATTTTATTTATTAACATTTTTATTTAATTTTTCTATAATTTTTATTTCTTTTTTCTACATTTTTTATTTAATTTTTCTATATTCGAGCCATTTTTCCGGTTCATATTTAAATATAAATTCATCAATTTCTGAGTACTTTTGACTTTCGTAAGCCACAGATTTTTTGCTTGTTTGTGTGTTAGTTTCGTTTTTGCGCTATGTTGGTTTCGTCATTTTTCAAGTATCATTTATCTGCGTCTTCACATCAGAGTTCCTATTTTTTCTTTTATTTATGAAATATATATTTAGTATGCCTGTTCTTAAATTTGATAACATCTTACTAAATTTAGGTTGTTTGTTTTTTATACTTAATGCATCTAGTATTTGCAATCGTCTCTTTGTTGTTGTTTTTTTTTACTGATTATATGATATAGCATTTTTGTGGCATTGTTTAGGATTTGTCGGATTTCTAGAGATTAATCCAGTTCCAGGCATTGGTACATGTACTTTTCTGAGCATGCGCATGAAAATAGATTTACGCATATGCCGACATGAATGTAGACTCAGATAAAACCATCATCGTTCTACTTATGACCCCGCCCTCCAAATCTCGTTCTGTATAACCTATGGCCTCCGGACATGAGACAGGATGTTGTAACCTTCGTCGTACGGACGGTCAGTGGACACAACGACACCTCAAGGGCTTTCTTTTGCAAATGTAGGCCCGAGGGCGTGCAGAAGGTAATAACGTTTCTCCTCGCACAGTGTGATCGCAAAGCCCCTCCGTCTCCACTTCCTTTTGTGTGTCCCTGCCAAAGAAAAGTAGCCATGCTGAATGGGCAGTCTTACATTTCGTATTCTTTGATTAGTTTATATTTCTTCCCAGCAGTCCTCATTCCTACCCACCCCGGTTGCCGCACTCTTCTTCTCAACCTTCTCATTCGTTCAGAGTTAACCGACATTATCCACATGTTCTCTTCTGGTCAGAACTTTCTGCCTATTTCCGTTTCTTTGATTCTTCTCCATCGTATTCAATTTATCTATCTATCTATCTATCTATCTATCTATCTATCTATCTATCTAAATATTTTCCTTGTCTGTCTATCTTTCTCTCTATCTATCTCAAACTGTTCCTTATCTATCTATGTAACTATCTATCTATCTGAAACTTTTCCTTATTTAACTATCTATCTGAAAATTTTCCTTATGTAACTATCTATCTGAAACTTTTCCTTGTGTATCTACGTATTTATATATCTATCTCAATCTTTTCCTTATCTAACTATCTATCTATCTATCTATCTATCTATCTATCTATCTATCGCATTTTCCTTATCTATCTATCGCAGTCTGTTCATTATCTATTAAGCTAGCTTGCTAAGTAGTTATCTATATAGCTATCTTGCCCTTTTCATATCTATCAATTGACCTATTTTAATCAATTCATATCTATTTATTTATCTATCTAGTTCAGTCTCTCTATTGATTGATCTGTTTTAGTCTGTTAAAACTATCGACTACATTATCTTCATATCTATCTATCTATATATATATATATATATATATATATATATATATAGAGAGAGAGAGAGAGAGAGATAGATAGATAGATAGATAGATAGATAGATAGATAGATAGATAGATTCAATATGCTCACAACTATCTATGCGTCCTATGTATTGAAGATTGTCGTTCCTTAGTCCAGCCTAACCCAATGTAGTTGTACCTGTTAGGGTCCTATCTAGGGGTAAATACTTAACCCCCAAACTGGGTTCAAAACACTGGGAAAATTTAAAAATGGGTTTTAATATTAGCAATACCTTTTTGGAAAAAATTATTGCTAGCAATACATTTTCGGAAAAAATTATTACTAGCAATAATTTTTTGGAAAAAAAAATATTACCAGCAATAATAAATCTTGTCATTAATTAACCCATTGAGTTTGATATGCCGTAAACCAAACCAAACCAAACCAAACCAAACCAAACCAAACCTATCTATCTATCTATCTATCTATCTATCTATCTCTCTATCTATCTATCCTTCTCTGATTTTCTCTCTTTACAGTATTTTCTTCTCTCTCGCTCTCTTTCTCTTACTTTTTATCATTTTTCTCTCTTTTTCATCCTCTCTTATGACTTTCTTTTTTATTTATTTTCTTTCTCGTTAATGTACCTTCAGTTTGTTTTTCACTTATGTCATTTTCACTCCCTATTATCTCTCTTTTTCTCTTTTCGCCTCTTTCTTTTTAATTTCTCCTCTACTTTACCTGTCCTCCTTTTCACTTTTGTTCTTCTTACTTTATCATTTCACGTTTTCACATCCTCTCTCCCACTTTCTATCTTTACATCTCTTGTTTCTTTCTTTTTCACTGGTCGCTTCTTACTGTTGTTTGTCTTTCTCCGCCCTGAGCCTATCCTCTCAATTTCCGTCTCTTTCATCGATGTCCTTCTGCTTCTTATCATTTAATGTTTCTATATCACGTCTTTACCCCTTTTTTTGTCTCTTTCCTGTATATGAATTTTTCTTCTCTTTTTTTGTATTTTGTCAATCTCTCCTTTTCTTTCTCTCTCGTATTTTCCATCTGTTTTTCTTGCCCTTTTTCACTTTTTCATTTTTTTCTTTTTCGTTATCATTTCTCTTTTTCTTTCTCTTCCACTTCCTCTCTTTTTCTTTTGTCTTTCTCTTTATCGCTTTTTTCATTTTTTTCGTGTTTCTTTCTCTTTCCCTTAATCTCTTTATCTTATTCGTTCTCTTTTTCTCGTTTTCTTTCTCATATTCTCCTTCTCTTTTCCTTTCTCTTGTGGTCTTTCCTTTCGCTTTTCTTTTCTCATACTTTCTTTCTTTTATTTCTTTCCTGCTCTCCTTTTCTTTCTTTTTTCTTTTCTTTCGTATTTCTCTTCTTTTTTTTCTCTTATTTTCTTCCTCTTTTTCTTTCACTTTTTCTCTACCTCTGCTTCTCCCTTGTTTTTCATTCTTCATTTCTACTTCTGTTTGTCACTTTAGGTTCTCTCTTGATAGATAGATAGATAGATAGATAGATAGATAGATAGATAGATAGATAGATAGATAGATAGATCGAATGAACATTGAGTTTCGTAGCATCTAAGCATGTTAAATAATGACTTGATAGATACAAAATTCAGACAGATAGACATACACACATACATACATACAAATAGATAGATAGATACAAAATTCAGATAGATAGATAGATAGATAGATAGATAGATAGATAGATAGATAGATGAACAGATGAGATAGATAGAGATAGATAGATAGATAGATAGATAGATAGATAGATAGATAGATAGATAGATAGATAGATAGATCCTCTCTTCTTTTTGCCTCTCTCTTTTATATTGTCTAATAAGAAGTTCCTGACCTGGGGCCCGTGAAAAATACCATGCTATGCTCGAGACAGTTATAATAATTCATCACCGTTTACATTCACATGCTACAGGGAAAGGTTAACGCGGGAAGAAAAGAAACCTACAAGACGTGATGAGCCCCGGGGAAAAGCAAAGAAGGGCAATTGTAAGAGAGGTCGACAATTACGACTAAAAGTGTCCACAAACCGGATAAGTACAAATTACAAAATTCCCGGAGTGTCGTAACTCATCTAACCAAGCGCCTTATTTCTTTCGCTAGCGAAGGCGGTGCGACGATCGATTCGGTTCATGAGATATAAATCTCAATTATAGATTGAGAAACGATCAGGGTGTTATTGTTTGTCATTGATTCTTTTGACCACAGGGCACTGGCTCGTATCTTCCAGATAGTTTCCTGCTATTCACATACCTAACAGCAGTTACGTCTCGATCTGTGATATTTGTTGGCATATATATATATATATATATATATATATATATTCAAATGTAAAGAAAACGAAAAAAAAAAAAAAATTCAAACATTCATAGAATTAATTTAAAATAGAGTTCAATACCAAGAGTAGAGCAATAAATATTTATGCATCTTTGCTGTGAGTACTTGTTTGCCGGGATGTGACATCTTAATAATATATATATATATATATATATATATATATATATATATATATATATAGAGAGAGAGAGAGAGAGAGAGATAGATAGATAGATAGATAGATAGATAGATATAAACAGACTGAGATAGATATGAACAGAGTGAGATAGATAGATAGATAGATAGATAGATAGATAGATAGATAGATAGATAGATAGATATGAACAGACTTAGATAGTAGACATAATGTCCACTACACACACACACGAATAATCACCCATATGGACAGTCTAGGATTATTATACACTTATATACGTAAAGCAATACTTGGAATCCATTCATTTCTTGAAACTTCAAATGGACACTTCATCTCACCTTGAATTCAGAAGGTCACACATTATACTAACGATGGTTTAACACGTCTAATGCACATGAAACATGATTAACCAATGAAAATCAAACACCACAAAAGTAAAAATACCAGAATTCTTTTCTTCTTCTTCGCAATATCTCATTCTCTGATGAAACTTTAATAAAAGCGAAATATGTTTGATAAACGTTTCCTATTTGTACTTTATATTATCATTGTGTTCGATTCTGATCCATATCTAATCTATATTTGATCCTAACTCATAGATAGATAGATAGATCGATCATATAAGACCGAGAAAGAAATAAAGACAAGTATACATAGAAAGTTCAAATTTCAGGAAAGGACGCTTGTCATGATGAATGAATTTGATTTTAACCCTGGATTATATGATTAGAGCGTGTCGTTAATCTTCAATTATTTTCTATGTATATATCTATCTCTCTTTATGCAATCGACCCATCCATCTAGATATCTTTCTCGAATTGTTAATTGCTTCTCCTTTCTGTACATCTCGAGATTCTTGACACTATACAAAGAAGGATCTGTAATTTAATCGATCCTGACCTGGCATCTCGACTTCAGTCACTTTCATGGCAACTTCTCTGACAAGCTTTTTTTTTCCTTGGTGCCTCAACTACATAAATTTAAGCGTGCTACTAGATTGGCATTTAGATCCCACCCGTTCACTGTTAAAATGTAACCTCCACTTCTACACCAACAGTTTCTTTTCTCGCACTTCCCGCCTGTGGAAGTCCCTTTTGTTTACTTGATTCCCGGATGACATCAATCTTCAAAAATTTAAATGCAACGTCAATTGCAATCTTCTTCGTTATTGAATCCCGTTCATCTTTTATCAGTCTTTACTCTCACTTTCATTCCCTGTAACCCCCCTGCGTACTAGTGGCATTCCCGCCTTGCTTGGGGTGAAATGAGTTACACACACACACACACACACATATATATATATATATATATATATATATATATATATATATGAAGAAATATAGTCTTAAGGTGTGCTATATTTATGGGATAAAGTGCTCGATATCAGAGATGAGATAGAAGTCAACACTTAGAGGCCTCTAAGTGTTGACTTCTATGTTCTTTATATTTATATATATATATATATATATATATATATATATATATATATATATATCGTCGTTGGTGGGACTCCGAACACTGGGGTGTCCATTTCTTTCTGTGCGAAATGAGTCCTATGTTGGATCTGAAGAGACGTCCACAGTCACCGCATGGCAGGGTAGAAGGGTTCAAGGTATGGAGAGCCCTAGTTTTTCTTTGGGCTCTCTTCGTCTCTTCTATTTGTCTTCTAGTGTTTTCAAAGGATGTTATTTTTTTTTTTTTCTCCAATTGGTTCTTTCTGCAGTTTCCGTCTCCCAATGAACCGGATCGATTTCTGTGTTTTCAGCAAAGTGTTTTTGAGCTGATCCTTGAGCCGACGACGCAACGCGTGATCTTTTGCCAGATTTGAGCTCTGAGAAGAGGATTGGTTGGGGTGTCGGATTCGGCATTCGGCCAAGGTATCCGGACCATCGGTGTCGGTGACGAGTCATGATGATTTTTAAGCTCTCAATCTTTGCGCGGAGAACTTCGGTGTTCATGACCTGGTCCTGCCACGGGTTCCGTAGACAAAGTTTCATTTGATGGAATCGTTCAATTTGATCGGATCGTTCATTTGATGGTAATCCGTATAGAATTTCCAAGAGGATATAGATCCATTGAAAGCTCTATGTCAAAGACAGGGCAATTTTTTATTATATAATGAAAAGCAAGCACTTAAAATACCATAGGTGATATTTATTTCATTGAAGTCGATAAAAACGGCTTCAAATCT